CGCCGCTGCTGCTACTGCTGTCCGTGCTGGTGCCGAGGGCCCTGGCCCGCGCGCCGTCTCCAGGTACGTGCAGCGCGGGGCAGTGGCCGCCGGAGCTGGGGCTGGGGCCGGGCTGGGCCTGGCCGGGCCGGGCGGCAGAAGGGAGGCGGCTGCCTGCTCCCGCGACAGTGGTTGTGTAGGCATATGTCCGTGTAGGCATGTGTGCGCGTGTGTATGTGCATGTGTGTGTGGGCAGGCTTTGGTCCTTGTTTCCCAAACTACGCCTAAAACCTGATTCCCTGGCGATTTCTCAAAGTCCCTGTGGGAAGAACAAAGTGAGCTCTGGTGCACTGTGATACATCGCCCTGGGTTGCTGGCTGTGGTCCCTACTGTGGCTGAGAGAGAGTGGCTATGCCGCAGGGAGGGGATGTACAGCAGTGCCCGGTGGGCGGACACAGGCGCCTGCATAGCGCACGGCTCTCTCAGAGGAAACCTTCTAAGGGGGAGAAAAGGGAAGGCCGTGTGCACTATCCACTCCCTCAGCAGAGGGAAACTTTGGAGGGTGTTTCCATTCCTTCTCCTCAGCTTGTGGGAGAAACTGAGGCCCACCTCAGTACCTAGCTGCCCCAGCAGTAGGTTTTTTGTAATGTCTAAGCGAAGTCACAAATCCCTATTTATTTCTTGTCCCAGACAACTGACTGCTGTCTCCTTTATAAATAGCTTTCACATCTTGGAAAACAGCTATTGTATCCCCTTGCCCCAGCTGTCCTTCTAGAAACAAGAAAAACAAACCCACATCTGTCAACGCTTTGTTGTACGTCATAGGCAGACAGGCTTCTTTGGGTGAATCTGCTATCTTCTCTTAGACCAACTTAAATAGTTGGAAACATTTTTCTTATCAAGCTTGCAAGTTTAAAGACCCTCTGTCAGGCTGAGGAAGCATCTGCAGTTGGTGTGTGCTCTTCCTGGATGGAATGAGGCCAGAGGCTGGTATGCATGCAAGAAAGGCAGTCAGTGAAGATGTAAATTGAAGAGTCAGTGGGTGAGAGACAGACTGAGTGAGTGGGGAGAAGGGGAATGAATGTAGCAGATAAATAGAAATAGTGGAGAGGTACCTGGGGAATCAGATGTCAGGCAGGTTATTTGTAGATTAATAGATTGTTACAGGCCTTGCAGATCATTAGGGTCCAGCCCCACCCTGATCTAGGCAGGAAGACAACTGGGGTTAGGTGACCCCAACAAGGTGACTCCTCCTCTTGAAAACCTCCAGGATAGGTGATTGCACCACATCTGGAGGGAGTTCCTTCCACAGTTTGGACACCCTGACTGTGAAGGAGTTTTTCCTGATATTAAGCTTGAAGTGGCCTTCTAGGAGTTTGTATCCATTGGTCCTGGTCTTCCCTGGGGGTGCCCTAGTGAACATTTGTTCACCAAGCTCCTGATGTACTCCTCTGATATAGTGGTAAGCCACTATCAAGTCCCCGCTCAACCTTCTTTTCTTCAGGCTAAAGAGGCCCAGGTCCCTCAGCCTTTCCCCATATGGCTCATCTTGCAAGTCCCTGCTCATACAGATGGCTCTTCTCTGGACTCTCTCAAGCTATTCTATGTCCTTGTTGAAGTGTGGCGCCCAGAACTGGACACAGTACTCCAACTGTGGTCTCACCAGTGCTGAGTACAGTGGGAGTATCGCTTCCATAGTTTTACACGAGATGCATTGGATGATGTATGCCAGTGTGATGTTTGCCCTGCTGACCAGTGCCTCGCACTGATGGCTCATATTCATGAGATGGCCAATCATTACCCGTAGGTCCCTTTCAGCTGTGGTCAAGTCAAGCTGTCACACTGAGCCTGTATGTATGTTGAGGATTGTTTCCCCCCAGATGGAGCACCTTACATTTGGAAGTGTTAAACTTCATCTGGTTCCGGTCTGCCCAACTCTCGAGCCTGTCCAGGTCTGTCTGTATCTCCAACCTATCTTCTGACGTGACCACACTGCCCCATAATTTGGTGTCATTCACAAACTTGGCCAGCAAGCTTTTCACTCCCCATCCATATCATTGATAAAGATGTTGAAAAGCACTGGTCCAAGCACAGACCCCTGAGGGACACCACTGGTTGCTTTGCACCAGGACAATACAGATCTGTTCATGAGAACTCTCTGGGTCCTACCCTGTAGCCAGTTTCCCACCCGCTGAACCATCGAGCAGCAGAGCCCACAATCTTCCAGTTTTCTCACAAGGATATTGTGAGATACTAGATCAAAAGCTTTTTGGAAATCTAGGTATATAACGTCTACCACATCTCCCATGTCCAGATGGCGAGCAACCTGGTCATAGAAGGAGATGAGATTGGTAAGACAAGACCTGCCCATAAGAGAAGACCTACCTGCGACAAAGCCATGCTGGCTGTCATTCAGAATCTTACCTTCTGCGAGCGTATCGCACACAGATTCTTTAATGAGCTTTTCCAGGATTTTCTCTGGGATGGAGGTTAGGCTGACTGGCCTATAGTTGCCTGGGTCCTCCCTCTTCTCCTTCTTGAAGATGGGCATAATGTTGGCCCTCTTCCAATCCCTAGAGATTTCCTCTGTACGCCGCAAATTCTGAAAGAGCTTTGTCAGGGGTTCTGTGATGACTTGAGCCAGCTCCTTCAGCACCCTCGGGTGGAGTCCATCCAGTTAATGTGTCATAAATCCAATGTCTATATTTAGTCCATGATTTTTCGTATCCAGGAGGTTGTAGGCCATGTTTTTCAGTGCTCTTGTTGCTTCCTTTGGGACTCAGATTTGTCTACATTTTCCAAAGAGTGCATTGCCCCGAGTTGGGCATCTGGCAATGTTCTGTCCAAAAATACCTGCTAACTAGATGCGTATGTATTTGCTTTTCTCTTAAAGGTTGCCTAAAGAGAGATGAACCATGCAGCACAATGTATGTTTTAGATTGTTTCACAAAGATATGATAAAAACAAGGGGTTTTTTGCTGCTCTAACATCCTGGCAGGATTATCTCTGTGGTTGCAGTTAGGCCTCTACTACTTTGCGATTTTTGCATGCTTCCACCCTGTATCTCAGGCTAATCTGGATGCGAACTTGCTGTGTAAATACTTTTACAAATGTAGCATAAGTCAGTCTTAGTAGTTATGAAGCAAGAGTTCTTCTTGCATTATCTTTTATTGGACCAGCTGCTTGCTTGGGATAGACATAAGCAAGCTTCCAGGTACTACAGTACCCTTCCTCAGACCTGACTTAATTGACAGGAAGGGTACTGTGATACCTGAAAAGATATCGCCCACAAGAAATCTTGCATTGTGTATTTCATGAACCATCAGATTTAATATCACCTTAATGCTGCTTTTATTTTTTATGGGTTTTTGGTTGTAGCCATGTTGGTCTATGGTCATAGGCAGGCAAGATTCTTTGGGTAGGTATGGTATCTTTTATTAGACCAACTGAGTAGTTGGGGAAAAATTCTTAGCAAGCTTTCAGGTGCAGTCTTATTTTTTGTTACTCTGGGGCAGGACCACATTTGGCTTATTTAAGATGTTTGTTTAACCCAAAAATTAAATGTGAGGAGCTTGGCTAAGTACAAAGGCTGAATATAATTACCATATTTTCCTATAACCCCCCCCCCCCCATATAGTATGCACCTTGTTTTTGAAAAGCAAAATGAAAACAAAGACTTTTCCATAGAGCAGGGACAAAGCCTAAGCCAAAGACTCACCCTCCTTTCCATGTTTAAAGCTGATAACCTAGCTTTTGCTGAAGACTGGTCACCATGGGGAGATCTATGATTTTGAAAAGAACTCAAGAATCTCCCAGGCTGTGAAACAGGAGAAAGACCAGGAATACCACCAGATAATAACATTGCCCTAAGAAAGGTTAGATGAACATCAATACCGTGAAAAAGGATAGATGTTTATTAACACCTGTGGAGTGAAGAACAATAAGCCACTAAATCAATTGACTCCCTCAACTGCCTGAATAGTAATGCAACAGTTGGTGTTCAACCCTGCCAGATTGAGCTAATGGAGCTGGGGCTGTGTAATCCAGTCTGTGGGACTCCCCAAGGGCCTGGAAATTTGGTGGCTGGCAGGGGAGATGTGGCACTGTTAATTGCTGCTCCCCTGTGCATTAGGGCAGGCCAACGAGTGGCCGGATCTGGGCACATAGCGTTGGAAGGTTCTGTAACAATTTTAGCAAACTGCTGGTGGTAAAAATACTGAGATACAAGTTATAATATTCAGGCTGACAATGAGTATTAAAGAAATGAGAAGTGTAGCAAGGAACTTAATTTTATATTTTGGTACATTATAACAATACTTAAAATGATATGTAACCTTTCATAGTTGCTCAGCTGAATGCTAAACCTGTAGGAAAAGGACCATTTTAGGTAGCATTTCATGTCTGGCTAGGAACTTTGTTACATTCTGTTATTTAGTCACTTTTGTCTGGGCTGTACATGTAGTACATCATAGTACATGTAGTGCTGTAGCACATTTCACTTCCTTTTTGCCCCATTTATGAATCTATTGTTTAGCTGATTCTTTCGTTTGAGGAATTTCCGGCTTGTTTGGTCTTGGATTAGCATTCTTCACAATTTCAAGTTGTAAGCAAACTTGATGAAATGTTCTTTGAAATTAGAGTAGTTCTATGTGACTGGTCTTGTATTCAAGTGACTGGTACTTTTTTTGTTCATGTGCAAGTTACTAAGTTGTCAGTAGGTTGGCATCTGAATAACGAATGTTACAGGACCTGGAGTAATATTAAAAAAGTGTGTGCGTCGGGGAGGAAGAGGGAGGTTTTAAAGTGCTTGCCATGAGGCCACCTTTAAATTACATAATAGAGTGTGGGGGTTATGTGAGAACAGTACCAACATTCTTGAATCAATACCTTTTCTATAAAATAAACTCCTTCATATGGATGGATAGATGAATCGTCTGATAACAGATGTTTTGCCACATACATAAGACCAGCAGGGAACTGCTATTATTCAGTTTCAGTTAAGTAGGATGTTTTTCAAATCTGAAGTTCTCAGCAGCCCTAGAAAGAAAGTCTTAACTAGGGGTGTACCGATAAGGATTTTCTTG